TCTGTTTTATATTCCTGTATTTTAATCATGTAAAGCACTTTGCATTATCCTTGTACTGAATTGTGCTATACAAATAAACTTGCCTTGCCTTTATTTGGGCAAAAATGGAAGGGATTGAAAACGATTGTTCACTGGTTAACGCTAAATTCATTAAATTACCGCGAACGCATTAGTTTTAGGTATAAATAATGATCCAATGATTATTCCTGCTGAACGGACTTTTCCTTTAAGTGTTTGCATGTTGCTGTTACCTCATCTTTACTAACCTTCTGAGGACCGACAGGCCGTGTGAGACCAGCTCTAATGAAGCCAGCCTCCCTGATAAAGGTCAGTTTTAGGAATATAGCAGTAATTTAGGCATCAATGTAGTTAAAATGAATTACAGTTGCAGTGGCTACCAAACTTTTCTTGCAGGAACCCCTTTAGGAGCAATAAAATAAAATAAACTACCTTTACTATGAAACACAGATCTACGGTGGTTGGAAAATAATGCAGTTTTCACTCAGCCTGTTTAAACCTGCAAGGCCACACAATTCCCCTGAGTGACGGTGTTTTTAGACATACCTTCTTCCAAAAACAAACCAGATTCTTTCTCAAGATTTATTAAAAACATGTTACAGTTTAACCAAAGTGTCTGTAATTTGTTTTAACTCTGATTACTTTCCATTATGGTAAGTAAGGAGAAATGAACGCTGCTCAGGCAGAACAGGGCTGATTACCGTGCAATAATTAGTATGATGAACTGATTAACTGTTCTCTCTTTGCAATCAATTTTGAAATCCATCAATCTCCGTTTATTTAACTGGAGTAAATAGTTGAATACTTTTTTTTCCATGACTTCTACCAATTTTAAAATGTCTTTTTTTTACTGATTATCTAACAGAATGTAGCGTTTCTGTTAATACAGAGTTTTTAAATCAACTGATTAAGGAGGAGTTGATGTTTATTTGCGGCGGCGTTCAGGATCTTACCGGCTCTGGAACGGCTGCACTTTGGGAGACTTGGGAGGTTTGTTTGCTTCGACGGCGAGCAGCTGGATGGATCCGTTATCCGATGCCACCGCTAAATAATGCGAGCCCTGACAGAATGTCAGCGTCTTTACGTGACCCCCGATACGGGAGTAGGTCAACACGGACCTGCAGGAAGACGGCAGAAGGTCTGGGTTTAATCAGAACATTGGAGCTTTTTACATCTGGAAAGGAAACGGAACCGAAGACATGAAGGAGAAAACAGGTCGGAAACTTTAAAGCAACAAAAGCAGGAAAAACCGGAGGTTAAGGTAGAGAAAATGAGGAGCAGACATTTATTAGGACCTCTCCTGGAGGACTGGGCTCATTTCCAGCACCTCCTCAGGGTGGTCTTACCTGGTAGTGGTGGTCTTGCCCTCCATCTTCTGACTGTCCCACACTTTAACCGACCCGTCGTTGGACGCAGTGGCGAAGATGGAATGTTCGTCCGACACCCGGATTCTGTTCACCGCGGCTTTGTGTTCGTGCAGGTGGGCGACCAGCAGCCCCTTGGGATGCCACCCTGAAACAGAGCGAGGGTTAGACGGCCGTGGACTCCGGCGGCGCCCCCTGCTGTCGCTCTCAGCTCCTTACCTGGAGGAGGGGGCCGGCTCTCCCACTCGGCGCTCTCCATCATCTGCTTGGCCATCCGCTCGGCGCTGCACTGCTCCCGCTTCTGCTGCAGCAGCTGCTGCAGCTCCGTCCTGCAGGTGTTGAGGCGTCGCTGGTAGGCGGGGCCGCCGGCCGCCACCTGCTGCTGCTGTGCCGCCGCAGGAGCCGCCGCCGCCTTCCGTATCTGGGTGACCGGACCGTCGGCGGACTGAAAAAACGGCAGCAGGATAAGATCGATGAGCAGGAAGCTGTTCTGGTTCTGACTGGTTCTTAACCTGAACCCATCAGGAAAAGTCCGGTCATCAAGGAATGATCAAAGGATCATTATTTATACCTAAACTAAAATGTTTGCAGTGATTTCATGAATTTAGCGTTAATCAGTAAAAAGATAAAAATATTTTTTAATTGCAATCAGCGGCCATATTTGTTCAAATATAGTAACCCCTCCCTCCTGACACCTTCTGGCAGTGACGTCACGGTGCGGTAAGCCTAGCGCCATTCTTGCTTACCGTGGGGGGCTGCGCGGACGGCGGTTCCTGCGATCCGAACATGCTCTTCCACTCCTCGTTCATGGCAGAGTCCTGCTTGGTCTGCCTCCGAGCTGCAGGAGCAAACACATTTGATTTTAATCCATTATCTTAATCTTTTTTTAATCAATCGTTTTATTTTATTTTTTTATTAATCATCTTATTTAATGTTTCACTTTGAATCTCTTTAATTGTTCATGCTGCCTCTATCCCTTTGCCGGGTGCTTTTCCTTCTGAAAATTTGAACTGTGTTAGAAATAAAATTACCTTCCATATCAGCGTTTTTCAAATGTCTACTAATCTAAATAAATAAAAAAAATCACGCTATAATCAATAGTCGATTAATGGTTTATTAGATTCATGTTTGTTCCATATGTGTCTTTCAGTGTTGTAGTGTTACTGCCGTCCACTAGAGGGCACCGCTGTTCATTCTTAATGGAAGCCCATGTCAGGGCCCCGTCACACCTAGCCGATTTATCCAGCGTATGGCAGATGTCCCAGAATCTCCTAAATCGCTGGCATACGCTGAACTTTCAATGTACTTTTTAAATTTTGGGCGTCTAGAGAATTCATAACGAGTCCAGAACTAATGAGCAACGACATCCTAACTTATGCATAACGCACGGCGGCGTAATGCCCTGAGAGCTGTCTGGCTGTAGAGATTAATTTCACTGTTTTCAACACATATTTTTGAAATTTGTTCAGTGAGTTTTGCTAATGACCGACTCCATCATTCACTAATGCATCGTATCTGAGACTTGAGCCAAAAACCCGACAAGCAAAGCAAAAAGCTGCATTTTTTGAAGAATATTCCAACCAATTAAAGCCTTTAAATCAACTCATTTCGTGGAAACCTTTGTGTAGCTGCCATTGAAGTCAGAATAAATAAATAAATAATAGATTAATAAATATTTAAGTAAAAAATATAGAGCTCATAAATGCATACATTTCTAGTAGGGATGCACGATATTGGGATTTTGGCCGATATCCGATATGCCGATATTTTAAAACTCATGTAGCCGATAACCGATATCGATACC